CACCCCCCCCCCCCCCCCCCCCCTCCACCCGCGCACATTAGGGGCGCATTAGTTACACCCGAGTGCGCTCGAGCGACGACGCTGATTAGACGCCAGCCCCTTATTTTCCTCCTATTGGCGAACACGTCCGATCTCGTGTCACGCGAACGGCCATCGTTTAGCGCATAATTTTTTTAGGATAGCTTCGCGTATAATTAGCGCCGCGTGAACGCTCACCCGGTAATTTCGCGGTACCTTTTGTCTAAGTACTTTGCCATTCTCTCTCTCTCTCTCTCTCTGTTTCTCTCTCTCTTAATGCACCCTCTCGACACACGCTCCCCTTTCGTTCCCCTCTCATCGATCGTCCGTAATTGTCCTCGGGAACGCGATCGATGAGCGATTAGTGATATTACGACTAGCGATACGATAGAAGTTAATCCGAGTACTCGTAGCGAAGTATCCGCGGCGAGCAGGGGTCGTTACGTTCGTTTACTCTTGTACTCTGTTCGCATCTCACCTTCTGAACGTCACGAGATCGAGCGTAATCGTCAGCAGATTGGATGCATTCCGTGCGTTTCTTCCAAAGGCGAAACAAAGGGATGTTTAATGAACTTTCTATAATGAGCTATTACTTAAGCTCGAAGTCTTAAGCCGTAAGAAATATTGATTGATCGTAGTCAATTATTCTTCTTACATTCGACTGTGATTGGTTAGTTTCTTCCAGATTGAGACTTAAAGTTTAGGTAATGGCTAATTGTAGAAGACCCATAGGATAAAAGTAGCGAGAATTATTGCAACAGTTACGCCATAATTTCGACGATAAAACTTTAATACTGATAGAAATCAAACTTTGTATCTATACTGGTCAATTTAATACTAGAAATTACTTATTTCAAAAATAAGTAATTAATCGCTACTTCTAGTATTAAATTTTTATTTTAAAGAATTGATCGTAATTATGATAATTCGCAGTGATTACTCGTACGTTTCGCGAAACAAATCTGATATAATCTAGTCATAGCTCTCGTCTCAAAACGGGAAACGCACGGAATGACGAGGGAAAAAGGAGCGCGATGCATTCGAACGAACGCGCAGGTCATTCCGCGATTCCGCCGCGAATCCTCGCGAGGATTCCTGATCCACGACGATGGACAGGACGTTTTCATATCGCGAGAGGACGAGTGTTAACGTCGTCGAAGACGGCCGGAACGTCGCGTCGCGCGATCGCGCCGCGTGGTCGCCGCTTGTATTGTACACGTACATACGTACACGCATTATACGCTACATAGCGATTCGTTTCTCCACGAATTACACACGTATACATATATAAAAAATATATATATAAAATATAAATATATATAAATATATATATATATATAG